CAGAAGAGACCAATGCGAAATCAAAACTGCAATCTGCTCTGGATGAAACTACCTTATGAAAAGCTATATGAAATTCAATTTAAATATGGGGCCGACATATGTATTAAAAAAAAGCCAACTACGAATCCTTCATCACCATATTAGGTTCGGCAAAAACAAGGCCGAACCAAATTAATAAAATAAACAGTAACCCAGTTAATCAATCAAATGACTGAATAACATTCGTACATCCACGCAATTAAAGGAGTATTGATAGGTTACAAACAAATTTCAAGTATACTGACCAGTCGGCTGTCGTTCCCCTTTACCCACACGCGCTTCGGCTTGTAGATACACTCAGGCTCAATTTTAGATGACTCAGTCATGCCAGATCCAGAAATAGGATCGCGCAAACCAGCCGTCATGTTGTCCCCACTGCTGGCTTGGAGAGCACGATGAGGTGCCTGTGAAAAGCAACTTCCGGATGAAGAAAGAGATGTAGCTGCACACAGTTGGGCTGAGGATTCAGTATTAGATGCCACAGTAATGGTAGACATTGCTAGAGTTGAGGTAGAGGGAGAACAAGAAGAGATGCGCTCAAAGAAGACAGAGAATTTGGGACTGGTGGAGATCATATAGTTGGGTGGCATGCCAAGAACCTCGATAATCTGGAGGAGTTGTTCCAACTGATGATAATGAACAGGAAGAAAGAAAAGAAAAAAAGAAATGCATAGAAAAAGAAAGAATTCTGTGTGGATTACTAAAACAGTCTAAATATTCAAAAATCGAAATTCTGGAGTCTTTGGAGACAACAATTAAATAATTAAATTTGAAGCAAATTAAGAATAGTAACGAGGTTTTTTGACCTCGTTTTCGCAACTTGGTCATATTGGTTGGAAGACCTAGAGGAACGCATCTAGTCCGGAGTCCAGTGTACACATGATCATATCCAAAGACGGACCGTGGACATGGAACATTCCCAGACGTTTCGCCGGCATCGTCAGTGAGCCTTGCCACTCTTAGCACCACACTACAACTCACCAGAGATAAGTGAAGCCGATCTTTTGACCAAACGTGTGCTAAACATTTGTGGTATCTCCCTTTCTGCCCTGGGCTATTCACAGTTCCTACATCCTCCTATCACACCTTCATTGCTACAATATTTACCGTGCTTATTTAGTTGTAGTGTGATGTGCTCCTTTAAGCGGCATTCATGTAAACCTTTCACGGTACATGCTGTCGTTCTCACCCCTTCACCTTTGTGCTGGGTTACTGATCATAGTCTGCCATATTTTTACGGAGTCTTCTTTCCCTAGGTTTTATCAGTCTCCCTCTTGCCTCAAAAGATTAGTCTGCTATCTCCCTAGTTCATGTATTTCATTCGAACCCTGCAACCTCATCTGTGCTACTCGAGGCTTCATTACCCCTCCCCTGTGTCTGGGTAACTAATTCGAGACTAAAGCATTTGGGTAAGTCTCATCGTCAAGTCTTTGCTACATGGACTACGTATCTGGTAAAACATACTGTCAGCCAACTAGCTTCAGTCTACGCAGCGTCTATCCTCTTTTTATCCCTAATACCAAGTCTATGACTTCCTATGTCCTAGTGTATTGTGTGCCAGCCCACAAATGTTGTGGCACTGCTTGCTTCGATTGAGTTCAATGTTGAAACATAACGTTTGTGGGTTGGCACAAGAATAGTAACGTTTGAAGGTGGCCAGCTTAAAGAAATAACTACAACTTTATGGATATGGTGCTCACAAGATGAGGGAAACGGATAATCAAAACCGCAGGCAATATGGCAAAATTAATTAGGAAGCCGCTTGAGAGACGGCAGGCCACCAGAGATAGAGATGTCCCCAGTTTGCAAAGGGTAGACTCTTTGAATCAAGGAGATGAGCCGTGGATACATTGTCTAATATCTGAAAGCATGGGAGTCAGCCCCTAGGC